GACTTGTTTTGGACGAATAATACTCGATCACTCCGTAGGTGGGGCTAGGTGGGTATGGATAGTCTCTTCGACTTGACCCGCCTCCATTTTTGACCGGTTTCTTATCCAAATCACTTTAATTTTACTCAAATTATTACTACATTCTCGAATAACTTAACTACTTACATTCATCATATTATAGTTCGTTTCTTACAATTTCCATAACAAAATGAATAGTTCTAAAACTCTTAATGGTTTACATTTAAATTACATCCCCCATATATGGATCGATCTGTTACGATTCTCACTTCATGATGAATTGCTGAATTTGGACTCGATCTGCGACACGACGAGTATGAGTATCGAGATAACCGCCCGAACCTGCGCAATTGTATTCTTGGAAATGAATATTGAAGGGGTATATCTATAGCCCATCGTTCTAGACTAGACTACACGTAACTCCGACCTGTGTCTTGAAATGATGATATCTACTTTGAGGAAGGGAACAAAGAGCTTTCAAGTTGAGCAATTACGTACGTTGATTAGGTGTTATAGCTTGCTTTATATATACAGATATCTCGTGGTTTTGCCGGTTGGGTTTCCCCGCCATTGATGATGGATCCGCAGTACTTCAGTATACCTGTCTGCAACCTCACTTACCACTTACCAGCTTAGTTGGCTAATGGCTATCAACTAACGAAGTGCACACTTCGTGTGTCCATCTCCTGCTTCTCCATGAGTTGGCAGAAGGCCAGAAAAGAAAAGAGCACGTTAACTGTCTTTCTGTTTTCTGGTTTTCCACTCTTTTTCAACGCTAAGACCTTTACAAACAAAGAAAATCAACATGGGGATGTAGCTCAAATGGTAGAGCGCCCGCTTTGCATGCGGGAGGTACAGGGTTCGATCCCCTGCATCTCCAGTTTTAAATTTTTTGTTTTTTTAGACTGGATGGTGGCCCATTAAGACAGAATGTACGGGCCGGAGTGAGTTGCTGGTTATAGTTTGTTAAAGTATACTCGGGCTATAGCATAAGCCCAACAAACTTAAATGGAGGGCTGGGCCGCCCAATTACCCATCCTCATCAACTAAACTGTATAGTCAGTAGGGATTCAGAGAAATTGTCTAGGAAAGGTGACGGTATAATTGTAACCTTCGATAAAAAAAAATCATCACTTTAGTATATAATCACTTTAGAAAATAAGCTATCTCGTCAGTAATTCTATCAAACACAACCAATCTATTAATGCCTTCTTACAATCATAAGTGCAACAACACCGTGCTATCTACAACCGACCAATACAGGCTCATTGCATTTCTATCGAAAGGTTATTACGATCAACTGTCACCGTTCCTAGAAAAATGGTACAAAATAAGTGATCTCTAAGTCAATCCGATCGATGACTTTCAAATAATCATCACCCGAGAGGTTAAATCGTTGATCCTAAGAGAATTGGAATAAATGATTATGAGTGCTATTGTCATCTCTATTACCAAACATATTACATATCCAAATCAAATGAAATTTTCATCAAATAAAAAATGGAAATGAAAAGAGAATAAAGTGGGAAGGGAATCTCAACCTGGAAGGCACAGGAGAGAAGTATGACATTGATTGCCTTGCCAGCCTGAAAAGTTGGTCCTACTACTGCACCCTTCTTGAAATAATTGCCAAAAGAAGGAGAGAGTAGGGCAGACCACATAAAGAACTGGATCTTTTAACATGGCATGTAACACCTTACTAGAACTATAATGATGATGCATTAATCGAATCGATCTGTTGTCTATAATTTCCACACATTTCTCGAAATATTAATCTCAGATGCATGAGTTTAAATCCAAATCCAACTGCTTCGTTCGATGGCTCGTTTGTATGGATAAAGACGATATCGTAGGTGTTGTACACGATGCAATATGTATATAGCACAGGCAAGACACTTCCCCTGTTTTCAACTTCCTAACACCAAACCAAATTGGATTAATTCAAAATCTGGGCAAGAATTATTTGTTTGGCTTTGTGGCACTGTAGGAAATCTCAGTATACACAGTGCTCCAGGAAAAATGAAAGAAACAAAAGAATGTGGCATGGTTTTGGGGGCATCCATGCAGCTTTAGTTTTCTGTGTGGGGATTCATAGCATAAAGCAAATCCACTATCTAATCTATCTATCTGCCACATCTGAAGCTGAACCATGCCTGACCTACAAATTGCATAAAATTTACAAAAGAAATGTCATTTCTACATGCATCTCATCTGGTACTGGTACATATATGACCATGGGATTTGTCATTTTGCTCTTGTTTTCTCCCCTTTTGCTTCCAATCAATCTGCTGCTGCTGGCTGGTGCATGCAGGAGGGCTGGATTAGTGCAGAAAGTGGTTGTTTTGGCTGTTTATAGTCAGGGAGAGGGAAGTAATGGAATGGAATGGATTGATCTATCTACCCTTCTCTTATGAACAGCTTCCTTGCAGTACTACTACTACTGTAGGCAACCTGCAGAAACACCAAATTGGTTGGGAAAGATATGGGAGGAGAACAGGAGAATTTGATGGTTAGCTAGTTCCCCCAGTTTTCATATGGAACAAAGGTTGATGATGGTTGGAACTTGTCGATGGCGCGATAGTAGTGCGATCTCAGTCGTGTTTTCCGAGAGAGAGTAATCTTGTAGCAAAATATCTTGAATCGCATCTCTTTGGTTGTCATATATATTGTTGAGTAATTGGCATAGTGGACGAGACCATTAACCCACAGAAAGACTTGCGTCGTATCGTCGCTCCTTGATTTAAGTAAAAAATCTTGACTCGCATTCGTTCGATTGTCATATTGTTCATTAAATCGTAGACGGGATGACACTCACAAAAAATGGAAGTTGCCCCCACGCAGGATCAAACTACGGACCTTCAGTTTACAAGACTGACGCTCTACCACTGAGCTATAGGGGCACTATACATGTAAGATGATTTAAGATTATCTACTAAAAAAATAATAATATGTGCACAATTATAATCAGTAAGGTAGAAATGATTCGTGTAAGATTCAGGCCCGCAGTTAATATAACTCCTCCACCATGATGATTACTCAATGATTAACCAAGAACCAGAACTTATGAATCCAATTCAATTTTGAAATGTATATTACTGTAAGTTGATTCCATGGTGGGCTAGAGCTCTTGTGTAACATGAAAAGGCTGCTGCTTTACACATAGTTGTCATAATGGGAGTCACTCATTGTATCTGTCCGATTGGGAAATCCACTGTTCATAAAGCCAACCAATTATCCCAAATAACCTTTTGGTCTCTTCTCTTTGTAATCAGCATGTTGTTGAGAGGCCCCTTGTTATCACCCTTCACAATTCACATGCACTTATAGTACTTGCAATTTACATATCATTCTTTACAGGTCCCTGATCCTCATTATTGAAGAAAAACTGACCGAATTGTTATTTAAGCCGGACTAAATGCATTGTTGGTCTAATCAGTAACCATAAAGTGTCTTTCACTATTGAACCGCGGTTCTCGTGAGTTTGGTCCGGGTCCTGCACACCCCCTAAACGCCGTCAACATCATAACCTGATATAGCTTCATCATTGCAACGAAATGCTGTTATATCATTAGGTTTAAGTTCAGAAAACGGAGAATCTTTCAGCTTTGCATGGTTTCGCCGTTATCAGTATACGACGACCACATGCAGTCTCCACCGCGCTACTGTACATACATACAGTGGCGGAAAACCGCATACAGGAAGGAATATGCCAGTAACCCCACGATGAAGCTTTGCTGGGTTGGCAGAGACAAAGGGCCATTCTCTTTTGCTCTTGCCACGAGGAGGAAAGGAAAGCTAACCTCGATGGAGAAAAAGCAGCCATGGTGGCTCCAAGTCCCCAGCGCCTGTCGTTATCAATCTTTCAGTCTCCCCTTTGTGGTTTGCTGCACGTACGTACGTGTTCGTGGTTTGCTGCACTGGCACTGACTGCAAACAGTGGCGTTTTTCGAACCACAACAGTTCCAACCTGCGCCATACCTTTCTTCCTATTTTTCCAACTCATCATTATCTTAATCTCACTTCATTTCGTACTTCATACCACCTCCCGCCTATAAGAAACCTTTTCGCTGGTTCTTTGCCATAATTAGGGTCGGAGAAAGCAGAGAAAAGGGTTCGAGAGAGAAACAGAGAGAGATGGTTGTGGAGGTAAAACAAGGTGGTGGTGAGAAGAAGGGGCAGGCGAAAAAGAGAGGGTTGTGGAAGCCAGAGGAAGACCTCGTCCTCCGAAACTACGTCGAGGCTCACGGAGAAGGCAATTGGGCTACCGTCTCTGCCAAATCGGGGCTGAAGCGAGGCGGGAAGAGCTGCAGGCTGAGGTGGAAGAACTACCTGCGGCCGAACATCAAGCGCGGGGAGATGTCAGAGCAGGAGCAGGACCTCATCGTGAGGATGCACAAGCTCGTTGGGAACCGGTAAGGAATCGAAGCGTTTCACTGTGTAATCGATTCGCGTTCTGATTGTGCTTGGCAATGGCAGGTGGTCCCTGATTGCTGGGAGGCTACCGGGGCGGACAGACAACGAGGTGAAGAACTACTGGAACACTCATATGAACAAGCCTCTTGGTCGCGGTGGCAGCAGCAAGAAGAGATCGAACGCCAAGAAATTACCGCGCAGCAAAGGTCCCCTGGCGATCAACCCTGCAGTAGTGAGCATTGGAGAACAGAGCAACCAAGCTGTTATGGCTGCTGCAGCAGATGCTACGAATGCTTGGATTGAAGCTGCACAGAACATGAACTACTACATTGACACGCCAGTGCCAGCAGAAGCCAGCGACATGGCGTTCGTTTCAGATATGGAGCCTTTCATGGCGTACTTCGATCCCTTCCTCTTCTCCCAGACTCTGGAATTCAGCGGAGAGGCACCCTTTGCCATCAACCATGCATTCATCTAAGAGTAAAGCTGAGAGAATAGTGTGTGCTTCGGTAATGGGGTTCAAAAGGACGAAACCTGGGTTCTCAACTAGTCGAAACAAGTCACCGAAAGCGCCTGAGCTTGTTTTAGTTAGTTGAGAAGTCACTAGTGTTCACAGCCCCAATTTCAAACAACTTTCTACTCGACCATTTTCGGGCAAATGATGTAATCACAGAGGGGATTAAATAAAATGAAAGCTTATGAGTATGATTACATTATGTACATTGCTCTGTGAAAATACCAGCAAGTATACAAAATTATGGATTTAGAGATTCAACTTCCACGGGAAACACAGGGAAGCGAAACATGATTCTCTGTTTGCATTGGATTACAGAACCTCGTCCTCTAGGGAATAAAGCAAGCTATTCTCGTTCTCGATGGGCAGCGAGGGGGGAGTACCTGGTGGGATGGAAGCGGCACCATTCTCGCCAGCATATATGCAGAGAGCCTCGGCATCCCTGAGAAAGGGATCCAGTTCAATATGGCCACTCAGCTCGTTGATGAACTTCAACAGCGTGTCGAAATCCATATGCTCCCCCATGATTTTGCCGCGATACCGCTTCAGGATTGCGACGCACAGGTATAGGTGGAGATGCTCGGAGAGATGGTGTGTCCATAGCACCTCCCATAGGGACATTGTTTGCTCGTACTCAAACTCCCTGGGAAACAAGGAGATATGGTGTCAGCGAAAACAATGTATATAAGACTCCGACAAAATAACACAACCTGTGAAAAACTCACCTCTTGAACTGGATCAGAATCCAGCGGAAGCAGAAGAAGTAATTCAGGCAATCATTTTGCTGGAAGTAGTTGTGCAATGGGGGGTCCAATAATTCTACCAACTGCGAAAGGAATTTTAAAAATGAGTATTTGTCACTGGCTTCTTGGCTCGAAGTCGGACGAGTCAAACAAACGAAATTGGTTCAAAGGAGAGGAAGAGAAACACCTTAGAGAGAGCAAACAGTTGAGCATGCATGCCACTTTGGTCACGGTTGAAATTTGGCCCAAGCCGTTCCATCAATTCCACAAAGCACCAAAACGATTCTGATTCATCCTCCGTCACATACAAAATTGGAGACAGTAGATCACTCATGCCCTGGAGAAAAAAGGAATACCGTTTCAGGGACACTACAGAAATTGAATAACCTTGGAACATCTGCCGCCAGGGGAGAATATTAAAAGTGATCAAAGAAATGAAGAAAAGAAGGTATAGACGGCTAATGACTTGCAAGAGGAAGAAATGCAATACCTGACAGTAGCCAAGATCAAAGTTATAGAATGAATATGTCAATAAAATATCGCGTAGCGTTTTCACATTCGGGTTGTTATCTCCGTCGTAGAAGGGTAGTGATCTATCAGTCCTCACCTTGAAGATGAAAATAACTCCATTAGACAAAATCATTTAAACCGGAATTTATAGCAATCCACCCAGTCTAGAGTCATACATACCACATCTTTGTCTATAAGTCCTTTCCGTTCCCTAAATTTAGTAAATCTCTTGGCTTGTTCAGGGGAGATACTCTGCAGATGGAAAGAAACACACTGTTATACATAAAGAAAAGGAGAATTTTGGTTGCTTGGACAATACTGTTCACCTAACTCGGAAACTGCAACCATAGCTATCCAGAGAGAGCAATCAAAAGATACTTGCATGCCATAACATTGTCCGATCAGATCAACATAGATTAAATATGCAGGTCAGGAGGCAAGAACACCAATCTCTCTTTTCTGTATCCTCTCTGAAGTAATTAACAGACAAGGGCAGGAGAAAAAACATAATAATGCCCAGCCCTTAGTAGAGATGTCACACCAAGGGAAGTGTAGAACCCTCCTATAGTCTAGGCCATAGCTTTTAGGATGGAAAACCAAGTAGAAACAAAAGTAGCTAATCAAAACTAACCTGCCACTGTTGCTTTATTGTAATATACTCAGTCCTCTTGGACGACTTGAGATACTCCCTCTCAGCATAAGTTGAGTCATAATCATGATATCCCAGTAAAAATGCCCAAACCTGAAGTCATTATTAGGAAGATCAATTGAAGCCTGTAGTCCATCATTATCTCAGTAACAGAAACGAATTGCAAACATGTCAAAAGGAATAGGAATTTCACCATTATAAAATAAAATAAATAAAAACATGTCATAAAGAATAGACCTCTTTCCGTATTGTGTGCTCCACTCCTCCATAAAATATCCTCTTTCTTAAATCTTTTGAATCAGTGATTCGCCCTTCTGAGTCTAAGAAAGTGGCCCACTGCAAATGCAGCCAAACATGAGGAAAAATAAACATAACTTACATACACTTTTATCCTTAAATGAATATATGGAAAGCTCGATTTTAACTGTGATCCTCATCATGGAAAGGCCAACTAATAATAGTAATAAATCCAGGGACTGTGGCATAAGCACACAGCTGTAAGGCCTATGTGATCGATACAATGGTAGACTATGTAAACGGAAAGATAAGATAATGGCTACAAACGACGATGCGAGACTTGTATGGGCTAATCAACTATTCTGTGATATCATGTCTTATAACAGTGTTCCAGAATCAGTGTCCAATCCAAGACGACGGAATATATACCAATTAACACCACAAAAAGAGTGGAGATGCCAACAATTGATTGAACAGTAAATGCCCTTAACAAATCAGACTCCACAAAATTGCTAAACCAGAGGGGACAGAAGCACAAAGTAGATAAAAACTGAACAAGAAAACGTGAGCAATAATTCGTTCCAATGGCATTTACCTCCATTGACCCTAAAGGAGACTGTCGCGGCTTCCCCCAAACAAGTGCCAGCTTATCAAACTGCGAAAATAGGTTGGAGAGAATACATTTAACCAATACGCTAGAATGGACAAAGCTGCTTTGTCTCATTAGCAAAACACAAAATAAAGAACGGACAGCTGCAGGAGAGATGACAAGCGATAAAATACGATGAGTTTTATGCCCTAATGCAAGTATAATACGAGCGTATATTCCTGAAACAATAGTGCACTGATTTTTGCAACTGTGTTTTCTCAACACAATGTCAAATAAAATCAGGTTTCTGAAGAATTCTAAAAGAATCAGAGGACGGTGGGGCATAAAGAAAAAAGATTACCTCTAGAGGATCTGAAGGTACATGAATTTCTTCAGGGACCTTTTCTGGTTCTTCCTGGTAAGGGGCATCAGGCCGAGGGCGAGAAATGCCATAACTTTTTGTCTCGAGAGCACTAAAACCGTTGCTATTTTCACGGAACAGTTGGGTTGTTGTGTCTCGAGCAAATTTGGTCACGAGAGAGAACTTTTCGAGAACATGAATAGAAAGATCACGGCCGGGATCATGAGCTTTCTGCCTATTCCTTGAGATGCTTTGAGAAAGAACTTCACTAGTTTTACCACCATCTGTGAAGGCTGTCAAATGACTACCCGAAGCAGGTGTACTTGGTGCACTTCCAATGGAAACAGCCCCTGGCATCTCCAAGGAGGACAATGTTCTCTGTAATGGGATTGGGGGAACCGTGAATCGTAGGACTAAAAGATAACGGAAACACTCAAGAACTCTATCATCAAAAAGACCAAAGGCACACTTCCACACCAACAAAAACAGGTAATGGAAACGTGAAACAACTAACTTTAAATGAACTCATCAAAACAACAAAGCAACATTTGCAGCTATTCGCTGCTAAAGAAATACATCACAATTCACAACAGATATTCAGACTATGGCCACTGTTTTTTATTGAATAACGATAGAATAAATCAGTAGGTAGAGACCTGCAGAGGATTCTGAAAATCATTCACAAGGAATACATTTGCATCTTCCAACGACCTGAAAACCAGATGAACACACAACAGAATCAAGAATAAGTCATTTATAATTACTGATTTGCTCGCGATGGTAAATATTGATTACTGATATGGTTGCGATGGTAATTAAATCAATCATCCCCCCCAAATTGACAGTAACATTCATATTGGAATTTTTTTATAATAGACAACGGTCATATTTATTTCCTACACGATGAAGAAATTTCTGTAGTTTGGAGCAGAAAAATTAGAGTATGCATATAGTTCATAACAACAGAAATTTCCGAAGTGTCGGAATGCATCACAGGTCTTTTTAGCGCATCAACATTTTACCTAACACCAATTGCATAAAAGCAAGAAGTAGTTCCATTGTATCAATAACAGACCTGACAATCAAAACATGTTGCTTCAATGTAGTGAAGAACTCCTTCACTCCTCCATTGTAGAAGTAAAGAGGAGGGAATGCAAGTCCTGCACAACATGAAAACAGAATTACAAACTATTGCTTCGTTACACCTTAAACCCCATAAGGACCGAATAACAAGTGCAGCAGTTCAACATTAAACTCACTAAACAGACATAAACCGTTAAACTACAAATCAACAATTCTACAACAGGAATAAACTGGCACGTGACTCCTATTAGGCATTAATCTTCAAATCGACAATCTCCAATAACTAGAGAAGCGCAAATCAAACTGAGTCTTTGCTAGAAAGCACTTGTATCTCCTACCTGAAGACATGACAATAATTATGTACTGCCACCCAAGAGTTGGTGTATGTCGACGAATTGAGCGCACGTCCGAGAAAGGCACAGCCCTGAGTGTGTAAAGGTTCCTATCTACAGAAGTAAGCAAACAAAAATCACACATCAGCAGCACAAGGGTGTGTGATTCATGAATTGAACTCAGAAGACATGCTAGTTAAACCTTTCTCAGAAAGCCTGGCATTGGAGCTTTGCCCTTTGTATGGTATCCATGTCTGTCATCCAAACAAAAACAGAAACAGCTTTATAATCACGCAGTCAACAGAAGTACAAGCAAAACCTCATGAATCACAAACTTCCACACAAAAAAGGGGTTTTCTTACCATAAACACTGAATGGCCTTGCTTAGCCAGCTTCAACCTTCCACTGATCCTCTCGGAAGCGAACTGCGTCGGGTGAATCGCGACATTATCCTTGGAATAGATCAGTTCAGCACCTTCCGTCTCGCTGGAAAGGCTCCTATTCCCGCTCTCGCTTCTCGTCAGCATGACGCTCGCAGATGCCTATCACCAAATCCAAGTCAAACCAAGCGAATAAAAAACCTAAACAAGTACCAATTGGAGTTCAACCAATCTCTTAAAAACGACTAGCCGTGCTCTATACTCTAATGCTCCCAATTCATAGCTCCGATCGAATTCGCAGGAAGATTTTCAATTTGAAAGGACAATTGAACAGAGACGGACAGGTGATGGAGATGGGATTCAGGGGCTTACTTGCTCGATCGAGGCAGCGTAATCGGCGTCGTCGGACAAATCGTGGAGGTCGGTCTCGTGCATGGCTAGGGATTTGGAGGGAAATGAGTCGTTAAGAGGAATTGGGATTTTGCTTAGGGAAGAAGGAAAAGGGATTGGCGGGGAAGAAGAAGAGAGGGAGTAGTTTCTGGACGAATGGGAAAGAGGAAGAAAGAAGGAGTGGGGACTTTCAGGTTGGCCCGCGTATTGACGTGATTGGGACGTGGTGGAGACGCAGATTCCGGGTTTGGTCGGTACCAAGTTTCGGGTTACCTATGGTTGTAAAACCGGTTTGCGTCGGTTCATGATGGTTTCCAAATATGTATAAAAGTGAAAAACTATTAACATCAAATATCAAACGAATTAAATCATATATAAAACAATATTTGAAGACAATTTACTTATAATTCATATTCATATTTAAATAAAATACGACTTTCAACTAAAATAACAAATACTCATATTTAAATACAGTGGTATCGTCTGCTTGTGGGATTTGAGTGATGGATTTGATACTCAAATCTCAAACATCTTATATTTTACACAAAACATTGTTTGTTAACGTATAAAAATCCGTGGACCCCGTGTACTTGCAATTGTAAATACCACATTTCATTTTGGTATTTGATTTTGGAAGGCAAAAGTTTGAGACTCATGGTACAAAAACCTCCAAATCCATGATAAAAAAACCTTTTAAACAAATAATGAGTTCTTTAAAATACATAATGCAACAAGCTATTATAAATCCAAAGGTTTCTAAAACTCAAACCCTTCATTTTTCAAATCCAAAAACAAACGATGCCAACATTTAACGTCAATATTTAAGCAGTAGTGATGGCAATTTGAACCCGGCCAGCGGGTATTAACCGACCTGACCCACGATTGGGCAGGCATTACCCAACCCGCAGTAGCGTGGGGCGGGACATGGGTATCTACTTCTGACCCGCCCCACCCGGTTATAGGCTCATTTTATCTCAAATTCTTATAGTATCTATACATATTTCTGGGTTAATTGCACCCGATGGCACTTAAGTGCTAATAATGTTGCAGGGTTAGCACCTAAACAGATTTTGTTGCAACTAATCCCCTTACCTAAGTTTCCGGTTGCAAAGCTACCAGTTCCGTCGACGAAAGTAACAGCAGGTACCAAATATGTAATTTGCTAGGACAAGTAGGCAGGACATGTCAGCACAGCTTGCTGACTCATCTTCAATCCACTAACATTCGAAGACTCTTTTGGGGGGAACCCTCTTTTGATCAGCCGACCTCTCCTCCGACCTTTCCTCTCCCTCCTCTGTACTCTGTACTAGAATTTCGCAAGATGAAATCCTTCGCCAAGAAACACGATCGCGAGACGACAGGGGGGGGGGGCAGATTAGCAAGACGTTCCAGGTACCAATCGTTCTTTCATGCTATTATTCATTCCCCTGTTTTACCTTTTCTCGTATTCATTCCCCTGTTTTACCTTTTCTCGACAGTGAATCAAACACCTACCCTAGCCTGTCTGTTTCTGGCGACGAGATTCGCTCTTTCACCGGCCATCTGAGGGATTACAAATAGAATAGGAAAGAACTCAGTTGGGAATCCCATAGCCCTGTATATCAATCCCGAGCGTATTGTGTGTTGCTGCTGCAAAGATGAGTCCATCCATTAGGGAAGTAGGAGATACTGATCAGATCCCAACATATGGTGAGTTGTGTGTTTTTGCTGCAATTTTCGTCAGCTAATGACAGGTTTCCGATTGCTAAGTTTATTTTTGTTGATTTTGGCAGGAATCGGTGATGACAAGTTTACCATCGAGCTCCATTATAAAGGAGAGATGTTGTATGTTCTCGATGAAGACTTGTGTTATTTTGGAGGTGAAGTTAAATATCTGGACTGGATAGATCCAGATTGCTTATCTTTATTTGAAATGGATGGATATCTTGTTGAGTTTGGCTTCTCAGAAAGTGTCAGAATGATGGAGGAATATAGGCTGAAGAATGGTTGGGCATACTATTGGAGACTACCAGGAGAACGACTGAAGGAAGGGCTACAAGAATTGAGAAGTGACAAAGACATTATGGACATGGCTGCAAAGGTTATTCAAGTCTCTAAGTTTGTTGAGGTTTACCTGATCAATACAGAAGAATTGACTAAAGCTAACCTAGAAGCAGACAAAGGAGAAAATGAAATAGAAGTTGGCAGAGACATTCTCCAAAGCCCACTTGAAGTACCACATGATATGGCAGAGGCATTCTCCCACAACAATGGAACTGATGGTGGCATTGATGGTGGCAGCAGGGGAATGAATGAGGCAGAATATGATTTGCCCTGCCAAAACAATGCAGGGGAGGCTGAAAGAGAAGGTCACAGCAGGGAAGTTGAAATTAATATTGATGACAATGTGGAGAGTGATCTTGAACGAGGTTTGGCTGCTGATTTTGAGGCCAGTGATGAAAATATGGAGTGGCAAAGCAGTGATGGGGTGGGTGGCAACCATGACATGTATATTGATGATGTATTTGAGGTTCCTGAAGAGGATGAAGCATATGATTCAGATTACCTAGGAAGCGTCCATTCAGATGAAGAAGACGAACTGCAAAGGGTTCCAACACGTCCAAGGTACCCTGAGTTCAATCCAGAGAAAGACATGAATGATCCCCAGTTCTGTCTGCACCAAATTTTCAGGGATAAAGACACTTTCAAGGATGCTGTGAAGAACTACTCTATCAACAGCAAACAGCCACTCAAGTTTAAGCACAGTGACAGTAAACGAGTTCAAGTTGTATGCCAACCAGGATGTCCATGGAACATATGGGTAGCCCCAACTGATGATGGAAAGGCAGTTCAGATAAGATCATGTTGTCTAAGGCATGAGGGTTGTGTCTTGGTGTTCAAGAACACATTTGGGGATGCTAATTTCATCGCCAAAAGATACATACAGAGGTTTCAGGCCGATCCGGATTGGGGAGCTGCATCAATTATGCAAACAGTTGCAGAAGACTATAATTGGACTATTTCAAGGTGGAAGGCATGGAGGATTAAACGACTTGCAAAGGATCTTATAAGAGGCAATGCTAAGACCCAATATCATAAGCTGCAGGACTATTGTGCTCAAGTTCGTAGGACAATTCCCGGTTCAACCTGTTATGTGGAAACAACTGAAAATTCCAATGTCTTCAAGAGAATGTATTGTTGTTTAGAACCTTGTAAGAAGGGGGTTGCTTTCTGTAGAAAGGTAATTATGCTTGACGGATGTTTTCTGAAGACAGAATATGGAGGACAATTACTGTCTGCAGTTAGTATAGATGGGAATGGAGGGAGTTTTCCTTTGGCATATGCTGCAGTCAAAGTTGAGAATGGAGACAACTGGACCTGGTTCTTAAACCAGTTGTGTCTTGATCTTGATATCTTCAAAGATCCAGGAATGTGGACATTCATGTCAGATAAGCAAAAAGTAATGATGTTTACTTAGTGAATATGGCTTCTTCAGTAGAGTAATAAGATATTGACATGTTTATTGTTTTGTAATGCTATTTTGCAGGGCCGTTTGAATGCTTTGGAGAGTGTTGTTCCACATGCCGAGCAGCGATGTTGTGTGAGACACTTGGTTTCCAATCTGTTTCGGGCACAAGGAGGTAACAAAAAAACCAAAGACTTATTATGGAATTGTGCTAGAGCTAGTTATGCATCAGAATTTGAGAGGTGCATGACTGAGTTTAAGGCTTATAATAAGAAAGCTCATATGTGGTTGCTTGATAAGCCGTTTTCACAATGGACGAGAACACACTTCCAGCCATATTGCAAGTCAGATGTGTTGACAAACAACATCGCTGAAAGTTGGAATAACTCTTTAGTAGGAGCTAGGACCAAACCGATCATAAGCATGTTCGAGACTATTAGAAAAATTTTGATGCATCGATTTCGTGTTAGGAAGGAAACTACAGTGTTGAAATGGAAGGGTCGTTTCTGTCCTAAAATCCAGAAAAAGCTAGACTTGGCTCAGAAAGCTAGCTTCACTTGTAATGCCATTCAGAGTGGTCCACAGAAGTTTGAGGTTTCATGTCCTCAAGGTCAAGTTGTTGTGGATGTGAGCAAATCCAAATGCACTTGTCGGATGTGGGAATTAACAGGTTTACCTTGCCCTCACACCATACGCTGCATATGGCAACTCTCGAGAAGGGTAGAGCAGTATGTGGACAAGTGCTATGAGATTGGAACTTACCTTGCAGCTTACTCTGGTGAGGTGGAACCAATGGTAGGGCCAGAATCTTGGTTGCCAAGTGGGAAGGAGCCTGTGTTGCCACCAGAGCTAGTTGTAGAAGAGTCAAAGAAAGGAAGGCGCCAAACCAAAAGGAGAAAGGGTATTGAGGAGACAGTTGGTCCTGATAAACAGAAACGCAAGTTTAAAGCTGAAAATGAAAGAATGAGTAGGAAGGGGAAGGGGGGAACCATTCATTGTAGTGAGTGTAAGCAGCCAGGGCACAATAAGTCCTTCCATACAAAGGGGAAGAAGGGGGGAAAATCAGCAGAAGGTGCTGCATCAACTCAACGGTCATCAACAGAGGTGAGACTTTTATAGTTGTTTGCTTGAAATTAATTTAATTTCTCATGTTTATGTATCTGATTTGTAGGGAAGCACACAAGCTATGGGATCATCTGGTGTTGTTTTACAGTGGATGCCGGATGTATGGTCTTAATGTTTAAATTCCATTATTATTTGAAAACTTGTATACTGTGAGAACTCTTACAAATTGCTATTGATTTGTAGGGAAGCACTCGAACTCGTCCAATGCATTTCTTAAGTCAAGCTGAAACTACTTCTTTCCCATCCCAGCAAGGCAGTCAAAGCTTCAATTCAACTTGTCTTCCACCACGACAGAGTAGTCAATCTGAGGGACAAACAATGCGCTTTACACAAGGCGAGGGAAGACAAAACAAACTTCCTATTGTTTCCTATTGTTTCAAAAGGGAAAGGGCAGATGTGATATGTTTCGTAGTTAAATGGGGTGGAACCATACAGTAAACAAACATGATTGTCAGCTGCTTTTGGTGATTATGTTACATAACTATCAGCTGGTTTTTTTTTTTTTTTTTGTGGTTTGGTTTCCAGGACATTTTTGGTGTTCATGAGCATATACACTAATGGAAATTGAACACACATTCTCCCTGGTTTATTCGCCTTATCTATTTTATTGCTCTAACTAGGCTTAATGCAGCCTAGCTTTGTCCTTCGAAATATCCTGCATTTTGAAGATGGAAACAACACTTCTCTTAACTTCTAAAGCTTTCTACCTTCATTAGCAGATCTGCAGACTCTTTCCAGCATGGCATTACAGTCTGAAACATTGCTCCTTTAATACATAATCCAAAACATGTTCCAAATTCATTACATCATCCAAAACAGGTTTCCAATTGATAAATCATCCTAAACAGGTTCCCACCTCATTACATGTTCCCAAACAGGTAATCAATCACACTCTTAGCCAATAGAGTTCCAACCACAATAAAAAAACTTTTGCTCATTTCTCTAACAAATGAGCTGTGATTGTTCCTCCTCTCCACCTCTCGGATTCTCTTGTGCAATGCAAGAACAAGGCGCTTAATGTTATCTTCAAGTGGTGGATCGATCCAACGGAAATAATTGCAAGCATTTACACCCTATGAATCAAACAACAGAAGAACCAGATCCATAGTTTATATATGGGAAAGATTTAGCATATGCAGTACACGCCAAAATGAAATGAAGATTTAATCAGCATACCCGATAATTGGCGCAACCGAAGAATCGTCTTCCGGGGGTTGGCATCAGTCCACGAGGTTCGAAGAACCGCCGGTACAACGCACCGGCACATTGGAGGTGTTGCCGCCATTGTTGACTTGGAGGAAGGAGGAAGAGGATGTAAAGAGAGAAGGGTGTGTTTCGGGTGAGGAGATTTTGGGGAAAGAAAGGGATAACAACAGCAGAAGGGGAGAGTTTCGGGTGAGGAAATTTTGGGGAAAGAAAGGGGTAACAACAACAGAAGGGAAGAGTTTCGGGTTTGACAGAGAGTTTCCAGAAGTTAAGAGGAAGGGAAGAGCAGGATAACACAGGAAAAGCAAAAAAATGAGCGGGAAAGAAAGGCTCGGATGAGTCAGCAAGCTGTGCTGACATGTCCTGCCTGCTTGTCCTAGCAAATTACATATTTGGTACCTGCCGTTACTTCCGTCGACGGAACTGGTAGCTTTGCAACCGGAACTTAGGTAAGGGGATTAGTTGCAACAAAATCTGTTTAGGTGCTAACCCTGCAACATGTTCAGCACTTAAGTGCCATCGGGTGCAATTAACCCCATATTTCTCCTATTTTGACTTTTCTTCAACAAACTAGGCTCGATCTTTCAACTTGTTAGGCTCAAATACCCATTCTATCATCGATAGTTTCATTCATAAAGTGTTTTCTCCTTCGTTTTAATCGCAAGAAGTCAAATTTTCATGTATTTTTTAAATAACATGTAAGAGTGGGTTGACCCGACCCGTAGTAGCGCGGGGCGGAGCATGGGTATTGAGGTACCCGCCCCTCCCCATTGCCATCACTATTAAGCAGTGATACTTGAATCCAATAAATAACATCAATATTCAACTTTTACTCATAACATAAATAATGAATTAATTTTATTATTTATTAAACTCACTAAAATGACGTCATTTTGTATAGTGGTCATAAATTGATCATGCCGGTCATACCAGTAATATTCATGTCGATTTCATGATCGAAATCGGTTGAAATAGGTTCAACCCGTCAATATCCCACCGACATGACAACCATACTTGCCTCCTATCGGATGTGGTTTGTGTAGAAAGTGGTTCGGTTTGGTTTGCTCGATTAGATTAGAAGTATGTTGACCGTAAGAAGAAATTCTAGTCGAACTAGGAATTTGGAACGGAACATTTTTTTATGATATTGTCTTCATAGTTGTTTTGGAATGGTTTTGTGTTATTCTAGTTCTAGGCATGAAAGGGGTATTACTTATTAGTGCACAATAAAAAAGCATTAGTAATAACCTCACATCCCTTATTGATGCATTAGGATCGAGACCCCAAAATGACATTTATCGACAGGGTTACAATGAGATATCAGTTCCCATTGAACGAGATGCAAACTGAAGTGGTCGTATAGTTTGAACAAACTGATAGTGAATCCTATTAAAGATGATTAACGTGGAGGATGAGACCTTGAAAATCAGAAGGAAACAAGTAGGGTGATAAATATAACACTTTCCAGAGAAAACACTAACCCTAACACCAAATAGAAAAAGGCATGCTTTATCGACGGAGAGTCATAAATCAAGTCATCGCAAGTTATTTCCGAATAGGGTTTAATTTAATTGATTTAAACTATCTCCCCTGTCTCATTCCCTCGCTCGCTTTCCCTCAATTTGCAATGGAAAACAATTAGAGTATGTAATAAAGAAAAAAAAGTTTAATGAGAATAAGTCTCACCACCTTCCTGGTCCTTGCATCTTCAAGCCACCTCGTAGCTAATCTCTTGCTAATTTCCATTCTCCTTCCTCTCTTCCTCTTCCTCTTCCTCTCTCTCGCTCTCACGAATTTCAATTGAAAAATGGAAAATACATATTTCGAGAGTATAAAATTGAGAAAAACTGGTAAAGAAGTTAGTAAAATAATTAGAAATTTTTTGTCATTCTTGGTCTATTAATAAAAACGTTTACGATTACTACCAGTTGCTCTTGTGATCCATTTTATCATTATTGAAATGCAAGATTCAAAAGCCAATCAACAAAAGCATGATGGAGTAGATTTATAAATATTTTCAGAAAATTTTATGGTGAGAAATTAATTTAAAGAATCAAACATTTGAGGAAAACAAATCCGTGATAAACAAGGAAATGGAATTGCCCCCGGAAAAGGCCAAACATGATTAACGTGAACCTTTTCTCAATTTTGGACCCAGTTCGGCAGCCCAAACAATCCAGTGGGCCAACATTCTTGGGGCCCAGCATCACCCGCTCGTCGCCACGTGTACTCATTTTAGGGTTTTGGCGGTTCTGGCCAATTGCCCGCCCGAATAAACGCACTATACTCTTCTCTGTGTCTGAACTCTCTCTTTTAATTTTCCGTCCTACTGAAAAAAGCCGTTGCCACCTCCCTGCCCCCTCAATTCTCATTGCGCGCCCGCTACAACTTTCACCGAACCAGAAACCCAACCTGCGGAGGACCGGAGCATGGATTCGAACGAGAAGCTGCCTTTCTTCTTCCGGTCGACGACCTCCGCCGCCGAGCGCAAGCAGCACATTGGCGACTCCGCGGCCATGAGCCGGAAAGGAGTCGTCGCCGCAACTTCTTACATGGCCACTGCAGGTTTTCATTTTCTTCCTCCCCTTTCCGCTCTCGCGATGTTATAGCTTTTGATTCTCTCTCTTTCCCGTGAAAATTTTCGCGGAAAATCGGGCGCCGGTAATTTTTATTGTTGATTGGGGAAAGTGTACGCACGTAGCTTATTATTTTGAAAATTTTCGTTTTCGTTTTCAATTTCATGGAGAGGTGGTTTGGTTTCTTTGATTTCGATTCACCGATTCTGTTAGGAAGCAAAGATCATTAGACGAGAAATTGTGAATTACCAATGGTTGTTCGGTTCAGAGTTCAGAATAGCGGCAATGGTGTTGATGGAAATTGGGAGTCGAAATTGTGTGGAGATTTTGGTGTTTGACAATGAATAGGGGAAGAAATGGAACAACAGGTTGGTCCTGTGGAAAAAGCTTATTTGGATTGGGAGTATTTTATTGGTTAGCGGAAAGCACTGATTTTAAATAATTGAGGGCAATGAGATAATGCGGTAGTCCTAAAAGGTTCCAAGAGGAATATACATCTTTGCTTTAGGGCCTGTATTATCTTCTATGGTATGGGCGCACTTGATCATTGAGTCAGTCGTCTAGTGGTTAAGGAAATTGACTATCTAGAATGGATCAGTCGTTCCATTCGTGAATTCATGTGGGACCCGAGAAAAATGAGTGATTGTGGTGCGTTTGTGTTCCTCGTATTCGTAGTAGTTCGATACGAATGTTTTCGGTTGAGGAGGCCAAGCTAGATTGCTAGTTAAGTAGTTAATCCTCCAATAAGAAGGTTGAAGTCCAATAAGAATGTTCACGACCTTGAACAGTTAGCATTCTGTGCCAATCAAGTTCTCCCCACTTTGTTTGAACCTTTATGATTTGAATCAAAAGGGCGAGACCCTGAGAATCATGCTTCTGTTATGTTTTGTGATTCTCTAATGTCTTCAAGTTCTTCACCGCCGCTGTCCACTGGATTTCAAATAGTCTACATTTTGTTAATCTATGACCTGCAGAACTGTTTCTTAGCTGCTTATAATGCTCCCTGGGGGGAATCAATTAGCCATCTTTGGTTGCTTGTTCTGTACAAAGCAAATAGTGAAGCTAAGTTTTGCTCTGCATGGTGCAGTTCTCCTGTTTATGTTCAACAAAGCAGCTCTTTCTACCTACGGCTTCCCTTATGCAAACGTGATCACCCTTTTTCAGGTATAACATTTTGCAACACGGTTTATTGTCAGTACATCAAGTATTCATGAATGTGGAAGTTCACCAATTACATGGAATTTGGGCCATTGTTCATTGTGTGGGTAATCCAGTTTTGTCTTGCTATCTTCGTCCTGTACGTTTCTTTCAGATGATATGCTCGTGCATTTTTCTCTATGCAATGAAGTACTGGAAGGTTATTTCTTTTACCGCTACTGAAGTGTCAAGCTCGACTGTTAACCCTGCAGCCTTTGTACCCCTGAAGACGTTGGCTCACACTACTCCTCTAGCATTTTCCTACTTGCTTTACATGGTACTTAAATTTGATTGAAAATGTAAGCTCGCTTAGTTTCCTTTTCCATAGCTTGGAATCATCCTTGTGATTTCCTCTAACTCTTCTTCTTGTCTGTTCTGGTATAAGCTGGTTACCATGGAATCTGTGCGTGGCATCAACGTACCTATGTATACCACCCTCAGAAGGACAACAGTGGCCTTCACAATGGTAGTGGAGTATCTTCTGACAGGGAAGAAACATTCTTTGCCTGTTCTTGGCAGGTGTGCAAATCCTTTAGCTTTTTTTTATATGTTTTATGAGGCTGTTTCATCATTATCACATGTGTTTGCTCTAAAACCCGTCATATGTGGCATTCAATCACATGTTAGACCTTTCGATTCTGCCTCATTTGGTAGCGTAAAATGGGCTCTTAACTTATAGTTTTAGGAATTTGCTAATACCTTTTTCAATTAACAAGAGCAAGGATTTCGCCAGTGTGGGGATAATCATACTTGGAGCATTCGTTGCTGGAGCTCGTGACTTGTCATTTGATGCCTACAGCTATTGCGTCGTCTTCGTTGCAAATATCTGCACAGCAATCTATCTTGCTTCTATTGCTCGGATTGGTACATAGCAGTTTCTGCCTTCTCTCCTCACCTTCACTTCTACCATTCCGCTAATTTGAACCCCCCCCCCCCCCCCCCCCCCCCCCCCCCCCCCCTCTTTTCTTTCAGGAAAATCTAGTGGCCTCAATAGCTTTGGCCTCATGTGGTGCAATGGTGAGAGCTGAGAAAAATAATGATCAGCATACCATTACCAATGTCTTTTTCTTCCCCTTCATGCGTAATGTGGATTGCCCTGCTGTTCTGTAGGAGTTATATGTTTGCCAGCATTGCTAGTCTGGACATCAGTGAGCGGAGATTTGGGATCACTAAGGAGCTTTCCCTATCTATTATTTCCAGGATTTCAGGTCCTTCCTTGCCTGCTGTCTTAGACTCTATTCTCCTCTGTCTAATAGTCTATGCAGTTTTGAACTTTGCATACTGGAAAAATTGTGTCGTTAGTTTTGTGGTTGTGCTGTTCTTTCTGCAGGCGGTGATGTTGCTTTCCTGTATCCTGGCTTTCCTGATTAACTACTTCGTGTTCTTGAACACAGCAGTTAATTCGGCAGTGACACAATCAATCTGCGGAAATTTGAAGGTACAGTGCTGCCCCTTAGTGACAGAGCACATAAAGCCACAGAAACGTCAACGTCTTCTGTAGTAATAACTGTTTCGTTAGTTTCAAAATCCATATCTAGGGTATGATGAATGTTCTGATAACCACATTATTATTAGGCCAGCTCGTTACATTTCATAGCTATTACGCGGTAAACTGTTCGAGTTTGGTTAAAAATAGGTTGGCTGAACTAGACGGTAGAACATCGAAGGTTGAGTTATGATGAATTACGGGTTATATAGCTCGATTTATATGCAGTTGTGGTAATTACTGTGTGACAGGATCTTTTCACTATCGGACTGGGATGGATGTTGTTCGGCGGCCTTCCCTTTGATTTGGTATAAAACCATTAACCACCTCCACCCTCCCCATCTGTACATTTTTTTTTTACCTTTACCATATCTGAAAACAGTGGATACATTTTGCAGATGAATATATTGGGACAGTTTATGGGTTTCCTTGGATCGTGTTTCTACGCCTACTGTAAACTCCAGGGTAAATAACGCACCGCTGCCCCTGAAGATTTACTGCAGAGGTAAAATTATCTCAAACTAGATGGGTGAAATATGAAAGGTTTATTACAAACTGTTTGTGTAATTTTTTGTGGAGCTTAAAACTGTAGAGAGTGAAGTGTAACGAAGAAAAAGGACTTGTTGAGGCTGCTCCTTAATTTATTAAATTATTTAAGCTAATACTGCTGGCACTGAAGATCAAAAGTGTATAGAACTACAGGTTTAGATTTTGGCGGGAAATTAGCTCTGGTAAGCTTTCTAGTTTCTGGTCTACGTGGTGGATGGGCTCATTAGTTATTTACCAGCTTCCAGATCTGGGCTTGGCCCTGAGTTAAACACGGGGCGTATTTGGGCCTGTGATGGACTTAAATAGTGCCACTGGGCTTCAAAGTTAAAATACTGCACAATTCACCGCAGCTCTTTTTTTTTTTTTGACGTAACACCTCTTGGATTAATCCAATGATTAAAATTAAATGTTACTTTTTAGTTTTTATTTTTCTTAATTGGCTTGTATCATTCTCATTTCAATTTAATTTTTTTTTGCAGAGGTAATAAAATATATTAATTATGATCCACAAAAAGAAATCCATTTTTATATATTTTGAGAATAAATATGCAATAGAAATACTATTGACACAAATATTGAGTTTTCGGGTCAAACGTCTTCAACAAAAAAACACGTCCATTCTCGTGCATGTTTAGCGCAATACTATTGTACCATTTTTTGCATTGTTAACAGCCCAATGTTCTCTCAATTGAATCACAAGTTCACAACCGAATAATAGCATTTGGCTAATTCGTCTCATACGACTTTCGGTGAGATTTCACAATCTAAATTCTAACATATGGTTTCCTACTCAAACTTTAATGTGGGGATTGCTACAAAAACTTGAGATTCGAGTGGTGTGAAACCATTGCATGCATCTCTCTGTCTACCGCGTTTAAATTTCATCATAAAATTTCACGTACGTACGACTTTTCGTCAGGTTGGTGGGAGAGGTTGTTGAGTAGGCTATGTAGCTTAGGTAACCGCATCATTTCCCCTATTCCAAGAAGGGAACATCGGAATGCCTTTTTTCTCGTATCCGCTTGTCGCCATGGGAAACATGTCCCCGATAACTCGTACTTACGATCGAGAGATGTCTCAAAATATGTCATAGTGGTGGAGACGAATCTGCCTGTATTTACGGGCAACGTAGAACCAAGCGAAACAAAGAGAAGGTACGTAGGTAGTTACAAAGAGAGAGAGAGAGAGAGAGAGAGAGAGAGAGAGAGAGAGAGAGAGAGAGAGAGAGAGAGAGAGGAAATAGAAAGTACTACTGAAGCCAGCCGAAACTGGAGTTCGTGGAGAAAGAGTCAGAGTCAGAGAGGAAATCAAGGGGGAGGAAGAGAGGGGTTTCCTGTCTGCTGCATGCAGAAACTGACAAAAGGGTGTTATTAGGGTTTTTGCCATGCATCATTGGGGGACAATACTTAATGTACGTGTATAATTGTGTTTCAGTTTTTGTTTTCTCGAATCTTGACCTTTATTTTCCTGCTGAAAACTCCATGAGAAGATCGGCAGAGACTCGCCAAATTATGCATGCAAGTAGGGGAACTCTTTCTCAAGGGCGGACCCATGCATTCATGTTTCGTTGGTACAAAAAACTTCGGGATTTCTGACATACCTCATATAATTGCAATCGACACACCTTTAATACACTATATTGATTTTGATGTCATATAGCAATAGGTACCAAAATACACAAATATATATTATTTATTTTAATTTTTAGTGAAAATGTCGAGAGGAAAAAATCCACAACCCATGGCTCACAGTTCTCTGTCCTCTGCTCCACTCTCTAATTGCTAGCACCTGCCGGTGGAACCTTATCTTCTTTCAAACTTTTACGTTAACGCCTGTCGCCAACGTTCCTGCTTTCCATTTTATGCTATGGAGTTAATCAAGAGCGAACTTCAAAATCAGTTTTATTAATGAATTTTTACTTTTGTACGTCGAAAAAAGTTTGATCACACCATAAGCGACAAATATATTTTACAAACCTTTATGAATATGAAAAGTTGTCGTGTGTCACTGTAAAAAATAATAAATTACGACCTTAATGAATTAATATTTTATTGTACTTTTTATTTAATAAATTTAATTTATTAATTATTTTTTGTTTGCCGACACACCTATCAAAGAATCCTGGGTCCGCTACTGCTCTTTCTAGCTCCCTTTCTTTCCTTTCGAACGTCTTATTCTGTTTCCAAAAAGAAAATGACCCATACGAGTAGTGATGGCAATGGGGTGGGCGCGCGGTACCTCAATTCCCATGTCCCGCCCCACGCTACTCCGGGTCAAGGCGGGTAAAACCCCCACGGCTATGAGTCGGGGTGGGTCGATTCACTCTTACATGTTATTTGAAGGAAAAAAATATGTAAATTTTACTTTTTTTACGATAAATCGAAAGAAAAAACACTTTATGAATGAGAAATTGTGATAATAGAATGGGTAATTGAGTATATAATAAGTTGAAATATCGACTCTAACTAGTTGAAGAAAAGTTAAAATAGGAGAAATATGCATAGATATTGTAAGAAATTGAGATGAAATGAATTTAAAACAGGGCGGGACGGGACAAGGAGAATAAGAAAGTAGATACTCATGTCTGATGTCCCGTCCCACGCTACTGCGGGTCGGGTAATACCCGTCTCATCGCAGATCAGGTCGGATAATACCCGCAAGACGAGTTTAAATTGCCATCACTACATATGAGTAAAATGTGACGGATGTTATCATCCAACTCCGTACATGAACCAACTCAGTTGAGTCAAATTTCAAACGCCATTGTAGATATCGAGGAGAGGGGGGACACAGGAAAGCAGCAAACAAATTGATGAGAATTCCATTGATGTCATGAAAGGGAAGGTGGGAAGGTTTGGAAAAGCATGTTTGCTTTCGTGATTAAAGAGAAGAAGGTCGAATGCAGGAACCAAGAAAAAGGAAGATCGGAGAGACCGACATGAATGACCGTATGTCATCCATGAAACCCTAAAAGGAATATTTCAAAATCAAATACTAATTCATTAAATTCGTAAATTCTGTACTACTACCCTTAGCGAACTTTTGGGTACCGTATGTTACATCTGAAATGATTTCGTGCAATTTTGAATGTATTCCGACAAATTATCAGAACGGTTTCATGTGATCAAGATGTAGCAACATTATATCGATTACTACCTAGCCTGCAGACTACAAACTTGGGGGTCGTTTGGAAGTTGCGATTGTTTTGTTGAGATTGTCATTATGCATGTATTGTTTACAATGCATCGTTTTTTTAGCAGAAACAATACATGGATTGTTTCTGTGATGTGACAGAAATCATCACTCATTTTGAGTGATTGTTATATCTCAACTTTTAGTTGTAATTGTTAAGATAGTTGAGTTGAGATTGTTTTGTCTCAGCTTTTAGCTGATGCGACATACACAATCACACATACCAAACGTTGTATTCTACAATGCATCAAATTCGACAATACATGTATAATATTATACATGCATTCTCAACAATACATCTATTTAACAATCGCAACTTCCAAACGACCCTTGCCGACGAATGATTGTGTCGTCTCCTTAAACGATAGAATTTGACTATGGTGCTTAACTTTCTCTTGGTGCATGTAAGAATGCGTTTATATCGTTCAGCTCGTATATTCTGACTATTGACATCTTTTACATGCTTAAGAGTAATTGTCTACAAAATTATCATCAAATGCGCAATAACTAATCGCAAACTGTTTTATTCAACAATGTAAGCACGCAGTATATATTGTCATAAACCAACCCGCGATATCAATAATTCGAATGGCTGGGAAAGAATTAGGTTATATATAGAATGATCAATAGTTTTAGGAATCCTCGACCAACTCCAACTCATCTTTTTTGACCGCGAAAAGGCCATTAATATTGATCATTCCATCTTTAGAACACTGTTCATTCTAAACCCCTTCTCTCTGCATTCATGCGGGACACACTTTGAACTTTGAAGTATATAGTTTTCTATTTTTTCCCCACTCTGCATGCTTATGAAAAGAGGAATGTGTAAAAGAAGAACACTACACAGATCGATCATTTTCATCACACAAACAGATAAAGGAAAGGCAGGCCATCGATCTGTCGGCTTTGTGAGCAAGTAAAGGCAGGCAAAACCCAGTTCGGCCTGATGAGCAGTGAGCAATAATCAATGGCGATGGGGGCAGCCCAAAAAGCCAGAATTGAGCAAGTTTTTAGCTTTTGACCTGACCCCCATGGCTCTATAGCCATTTCTCGAGGAGGAAGAAGAAGAAAGCTGGTAGAGTGGAGAGATTAATTAATTTAACAGAAAATTAAAGGGAGGAGTTAGGGTGAAGAAAGGTTCCTAGGATCTGATGAGGAGGGAAAGAAAGGTGAGAAAATGGGGTTTAAGAGAGGGAGGCGTGAGGGAATCTGGTAAGTGGGGGCACGCCAACTTATCGCCATAAAATCATGAGTGGTGCTCTTGAAGAGACACAAAAATAATGGACCATAATTACTATTATTCGAGCTTTTTATATAACCTTAATTCTATTTTTTATAATTCTATTTTTTTTATAAAGGATATGATTCATTACTCTCAAATGGTTTTTTTTAATAATCAAAGATTATCGAATGTTGACATGAAGTTACCAAAGGTAAGATAGTCTAACGGTAAGCTGTCGCGACAGTGAAGGTTTGGGAGTTGCAGATCTTATATTTGAATCCAAGCGAGACTTGTTGGTGTTTCCGGAGGTATAAGGCTGCTGGGGGCGAAGTCCTGTTGGCGTCGAATTGAATGTAGGTGGCCCCCAGGTTTAGTAGAACCCACTATCACAAAGTGGCACGTGGGACTGATGTTCGTGGGTAATAAAAACCTGGGTAATAAAAAAAATGTTGACATGAAGTTCGAATCCAACTTAATTGGATGTTATCGTTGTATTTGGTGACTTAGTTA